CACGGGTGTCCTTTATCAAACTCCCACTCCGTGGGATCTGAGTCAGGCGTGATGGCGGCTCCGATCGCACCTCCCACCTGTGCCCCATTCCGCTATTGTCTTCTTGATACCGGGCGCGGTTGAGTGAGTGCGATAGATGCAATGTAAGCCCACAAGTAAGTAACTGCAGCACCGCGCTGCAGCATCGCGCTGTGGAGCACACGGGAGACACCGTCAGAATAGACGGTCGAAAGGCCGTCCGTGAGGACAGCATTGGAGGCTAGAATTGAGTGAGTGGCCGGGAGGTGAACATGGAAAGGTGTAACACTGGCAGAGAGCATATGTGCCAGGGGTTAGGCGAGCACAACAACGAGATGCTGTTGGTAGTGATACAACTCCGTTCGGCCGTGTTGAATGAGGAGAGAACCAACGACCCTATGGTGGCGTTCACATTTAGGAATTAACTGTATTTGACCCAAGTGTGAAGAAAACTCGTCGCTTTGGAGGGAGTCGACCCCGCACAGCAGGGAAAACTTTTGCGCAGCCAACGCTCTGCCGATTGAGCTACGAGGCCTCGTAGGTCATACAGAAGTAACAATAGCACATTTCTCTTTACGCCTTCAGAGGAGAGACAGGAACCTGCGCTCATGTCATGTACAGTCAGTACAAAAATAGCTTTCTGACCCCCGGGTTTTTGAAATTCGCACGAATATGGACCAGTGAAAAAGAAAAATCCAAGATATTTCTGATATCTCGTAGGGACTAGTTAGATAGCTAGTTCATTTATCTATACCATGATATTAAATGACGCAATGGAGATCATTCACTACAACTCAAAAATGTGTCCACCTTGCATTTTCCTATTACATTGAGATACCCTTGCCATCACTATTATTGATTGTTCACATATGCTCTCCATTAAATTTTTTACAATAACTACATAAATGTCTTCTCGTTGATTAACTTGGCTTTTGCTTCCTCTCCAAAACTGAATACGGGATTTCCGGATATGTAGACAACAAACGATTATAAGCCGTTATTTGGCAAGGAATTACGTCAAGTCACACAAAATCATTACACCATGAAAACTATAAAATTTAGCAGTAGGGTAATCACATGGCCAACTATCTGCTTAGAAAAAATTGTCTCATGAAGTTCAAAACCTGCAAAACAATCAATTTTTACGTAAAGCGCCAGTAGACCCAGGGGTGCGAAATTTTTATCTAGCAATTGAACTCTTAGGTTCCCTTAAAGTTAACCAGGGTAGAGACTCTGCGAACTGCAGGCGAGCAAAATTATTAAACCGAAAGGGAATTGACTCGGTAGAATGCTAGATGACTTTCGTGTGAATTAGGTTTTGTCAAAGAACCGCTAACAGATATACATATTAGCTCAGAAGATCCCATCAAACCTCAGAAGAACACCAACATGGCGAAGACCAAGGCTGACGTTCAAAATTATGGCGCCAAGTAAAAGGAGAGAGGAAAGAGAGACTAAAAAGTTGAGTCAGCAAGAATAAAATCAGTTACTACTAGTCGGGCGTCAGTGTCAGTAAAGATTGATCTAACTGTAGGCCCTCTCAAAGTTGCGCGATCTTGGCTTAACAATCCGGGAATACTGGCAGTTAAACAAGGCAGTTTGAGTGCAAAAATGTGGCTTGCACCCTACTGCAACTGAGACGTTGATTGATTCAAAGAGAAAAGCCTAGCATACGGAGCGCTGTAAGGTTGAGTTTCGTCGTAACATTTTTTCCACTGGATTGCCGTAGACTTTTACGTTACCAGTAAATTAAAGAGCTTGAGCAAAAGACCTTGTACACGTAAATTGACAGTTTGACAGGACCGCTGAGTTCATCAATTTTGCCCTAGTGCACGCCAGAACATGTGCATTTAGTTCGACAGTGTAAAGTGCCTAAGACGATCCTATGAGCTGACGATGCTAAAAGGCGACAGGTACGACAAGAACCCATCTCCATCACTGTCAGAACTATTAACGACCTGGCCTACTATGTTGCTTCGACACACACAGTTAGATTGAATGTCAACTTGGTACCGCTCAACTGCGGATTTCCTTCTCCGTTTGCTACCAAGCCGTTTGAATTTACTAATAGCTATCCACTCTGATCTGCTGCCCTGATTTCTGACACGAACATCCGTTATTGTTAGGGATTTAGTTTGCACATATAGTATACATACGAAAAGGTTGAAAGTATTTAACTGTCTGGTAACTGAAGGCAGCCAAAGAAGCAGACTAAAAAATTACATTCACAAAAATTCTGTATGCATCCTTGGTCCTGAAGCTTTTTTGTCCTGAGAAAATCAAGTTCAAGGTGTGGATAAAAGCTCAGTCCTGATCACGGCATTGTTTGAAAATGAAACACAAAAATGTGAGCTTAGACTGCTAAAAGCTTAACCAGAGGATGGCAAACTGAATTGAAAATGTTAACATTAGCATCTAGTCAATAATACGACTTTATTAAGTGGATAACGTATAAAGAAAAAGACATGATTTGTACTAGAGACATTATCGCGTGGTGTGAGACACGTCGGGAAGTCACCATTATCACAAAAACACATTGAAAAGTCACCAGTTATCGCGTAGTGTTAAGGCTAATAGGGTTAACCCCTAACGCCTGCGATCTTCCAGGCTTGGTTCCTTTGGCGATGAGAGAGAAGTCATGGAAAGGCCAGAGTAGTAGGAAGAATATATTATTTACAGAATGCATTGGGGAAGAGGCATTAGGAAACTGAGTAGCAGACGACCGCACAACCGCAAGCCAGCGGACGGCGTCTGAAGTGAGGTC